TTTTTTGAGCCACTTCATGGGACAAAAAATGAGGCAGTCTCTTCCTGTTAAGATGTACTCTTTGGGACACATAATAGAAGGTCTTCATGAGTTGAAATAATTCCTGATTAGTTTAATAAGAAAAATTCTATTAGTGATATTACATAATCACCATGTTGTGACAAATATTCATAGTCAATGGAGAAACACTATTACTTGTGAATAATTCTAGCTGAAAGTACAGCTAATAGTCAAAGTGAACTTTTCATTATGTTAATTGTTCGCTATAAAATTAGGTCCTTCAGTTGGCAACTGCATCACGTCTATGGTGATATATGGAACAACAATAAGCCGGCCTTAATGAGAACTACCAAAATACAAATTCTTTTGCAAAATAAAAACTATTGTGTCAAACTGCTGTGTTTGGAAAGAGATATAGATAGATAGATAGATAGATAGATAGATAGATAGATAGATAGATAGATAGATGAGACAAAGAGGCGCCCTGGTGATGTAGTCTACCAAAAGTTGCACTACTAAACCAAAGGCCATGTCTTTTATAGTCAGAATCTAAATGACACTCTGCATGAGAAAGACGTACCACCTCAAAAAACACAAATGAGGATTACTTATGAATTATTTCGCAGGATGACAATGAAAGATGAGAGAGATACATACATACATACGTACATGGTTAGTCCACTTTTGCATACATTTTGAGCTCCTAACCCAAAGGCTGACAAATTCTGTCAGTCCAAAAGAGAAGAATGAAAAGTCTCCTCCTACAAAGGTTTACAGCCTCAAAATTCTAATTCAGTGTCACTAAGCGTTAAAATCAACTCAGTAACAAGAAGTTTGGTTTAATTGGTTTCAATAACTGTATACACTCATCTTAATAACATTTCAGTGTATATATCATAACTTTGATAAAGATAGTAACTTCATTTGAATAAAAAGGTTGATACCTTTTATTCCCCTGCCTCACATAAATATGCATTTTTCTGATAAAGAATATTATTACCAATTGAGAAGTATTTTACAGTCCAGAAATGTCTCAATAAATTTGATTAAAATTTTA